TCTGTCTCCCTCTTCCATATTTGTCTGAGGCAGTCCAGCTGAGCTCCAGCCTTACAGACAGGCTCTCTCTGGAGAAGGACATCAGTTTGTGTCGGCCATGATGAAGCTGCCAACTTTAAAGCATCTCCATCAACACTACAAAACAGGCACAGTTAGAGAAATGAAGTCTGTCTGGGTGCAGATCTGAACTCCAGGGAGTGTCAGGCAGAGGGGTCACTAAAGGGGCCACCATTGTCCTTTCTGGAGGGGACAGTGGAAGGCGCCACTGTGTTGTAAACTCTGCTGCAGAATGTCTAAACACTTTAGACAGGTAAATATGAACTATGGATGACCTGAAATGCAGCAATGTGTTCCTCTCTGTCGTCTTCCAGGTGGATGTCGGTAATAAAACTGACTGGGACCTGGGAGTAGCAAGTCGGTCTGTCATTCGAAAGGGGAAAATCTCAGTGAGCCCGGCCCATGGCTACTGGTTCCTCAGCCTGCGGGATCAGACAGACTACGCCTTCAGAACGGATCCCTCCACCCCCCTGACGGTGTCTGTCAGACCCTCACGAGTTGGAATCTATATAGACTATGATAAAGGACTGCTGTCCTTCTACAACGTGGAGGCCAAGCTGCTCATCTATTCCTTTATAGATAGTTTTCCTGACACCATCCATCCATTCTTCAGTCCCTGCACCAATAAGTCAGGAAGGAATGGGGCCCCATTGGTCATCTGCCCTGTTTCAATGGCTCAATAAAATCAAAGTATTTGTTTGACCAACATTAAATGGCAGTTATGTTATTAATTTTTCTGTGGGAGGGATCTGAATTTTAGTGCATGCTTATAGTGAATGCTTAAGAACAAAATTAATTACTTAAATATTCATTTTATTAAATGTGAGAATTTAAAAAATAATTTAAGTCTCTCTGTTCAAGTATGTAAAGATTAAAAACTTCCTGGCAGCTGCACAGTGATGTTATCTAATGGAAGTAAAGCTGTGAAGGCTACACCACTGATAAAATTTCAGGATTCCATGTAAATCAAATTACACCATGAATAGTCTTTTAAAAACTATTTCTGAAAATGATATATTTCTCAATTAAATTATAAACAAGCTATGTTAGAAGGAAAATGTACCAGCTTTTGTGTGCACCTCTATAGACGAATAATATTTCCAACATGTGGAAAATGTTTGATTTCTCTGTCTTGAAAATGTACCATATTGGTTTTCCCATTTTTACTTTTATTCACTTGACTACATCTCTGAATCCATCTGAGGAGAGCCACACCAGAGCATAATGGGTTCAGTCTGTATGGGGCAGCGTTGTTTTCAGCTTGTAGAAATGTGGCATGATGTTAAAGTTGGGTTTGATCAGACAACACAAGATACATTTAAACAAAGACTGTAATTTTCATATGAATGCATGGCCTTTTTTTGTTATACATGTACAAAACATTGACAACTGTCTCAAAGTGAAAGGATGTGGATACATTTTACAACTTATGGGTAACACTGAAATGTCATCAGATGGAATAATACGCTGAATAAAGACCCAGTATCAAATGTTGGGTTTAATGGATACTGTTTATAACTTTTTAAGCCGGGCGTACACTGTGCTATTTTTTTCAATCGTTGCACGCAGCTACTGCTCACACTATACGACTAAACTGCAGATTTTAGTCTTATAGTGTGAGTTCACAGCTCATGATGTATGACACTCTCATGCGATCTACCTGCTCACACTGTACGACTAAAAACCAGGTGGGACTCAGCTCCGCAGTGAGATGGCGCT